TTGCCAACTGTTTTCTTCCTTGCCAAGTAAGAGAGTTGTTGTGAACTCTTCAGTGATGACTTCCCCAGGATATTTGCAGATGTGGTTTGGAAAAGTCATTTTATCCCCGACCTTTGCATGTCAGGTGCTGGGGTGCCGGGGTGCCACCTCGCCTACGCCCCGCCTCTCTGATCCAGATGCGGCTCTCTCTCCCTCCGATCGCCATGGCAACCACTGGCCTGCGCCCCGGCTCTCTCTCCCTCTGATCACCATGTGATCACGGGACCGCAGGCGAGGCAGACCCCTGTGGCTCTTGCCTGCTGCCTGGGTTTCCTATCACTGCTCTTCCATCCTTCCCCTTTCGCCTCCCATCATTGTGCCTATGTATGCAAATTAACCGCCATCTTTGTTGGCAGTTAACCACCATCTTTGTTGGCAGTTAATTTGCATATTGCCCTAATTAGCCCATGGGAAGCGTAGCGGAGGTATGGTTAATTACCCTTTTTGTCTTTTATTAGATAGGATATGTTTCATAAGGCTATAGTTGCTATAGGTAGGGATTCTTCTCATGGATCTGGACAAAGTAAATTGAAAACCTGGAAAGGATTCACATTGTAGATGCCATTAAGAACATTCCTGATTCATGAGAAGAGGTAGAAATATTAACATTACAGGAGTTTGCAAGAAGTTGATTCCAACCCTCACTGATAACTTCAGTGGAGGAAGTAATCCCAAATATGGTGGAAATAGCAAGAGAACTAGAATCAGAAGTGGAGCCTGAAGATGTGACTGAATTGCTGCAATCTTATGATAAAACTTTAATGAACGTGGAGTTGCTTTTTATGGGTGAGCAAAGAAAGTGGTTTCTTGAGATGAAACTTACTCCTGGTGAATATGCTGTCGATATTGTTGAAATGACAACAAAAGATTATTACATAAAGTTAGTCCATAAAGCAGGGCCTGAGAGGATTAACTCCAATTTTGAAAGAAGGTCTGTGGGTAAAAATGCTATTAAACAGCATCACAGATGACAGAGAAATTGTTTATGAAAGGAAGAGTTAATCAAAATGGGAAATATTGTTTTTTTATTTAAAGAAATTGCCACAGCCACCCCACCCTTCAGCAACCACCATTCTAATATTTTTAGAATTTTAGCCCATCAACATTAAGGCAAGACCCTTCACCAGTAAAAAAACTGCAATTCACTGAAGTCTTGAATGCTGGTTAATATTTTTTAGCAATAAAGTATTTTTAAATTAAAGTATGTACCCAAATAGACATAATACTACTTAATAGACAGTATTGTGAAACATAACTTTTATATGTACTGGGAAAGCAAACACATTCGTGTTAGTTTATTGCAATTCACACTTTATTTTGGTGGTCTAGGATGGCACCTGTAATATTTCTGAAGTATGCCTGTAATGTACAATCAGCAAAGCAATCCCCAAAGTGCTAGCAATAGTTTCAAATTCAGCTAAAATTAAATGCAGATATTTGCAGAGTGGGTCAGGGAGCTGGTATAAAATAAAATATGAAGGCGTTACAAGTTTCTTTTTACTCTAAACAAAATTATTTGAATAAAAAAATCCTACTTTTTACATTTTCAGAAGCAGTTCTCTTACCTGAAAGTTTTCTTTGATCAATGTAGGCTCAAAGCTTTTAGGAATGACAACTATCCCTCGCTGGATGTTGAAACGCAAAGCAACCTGAGCTGCAGTCTTATTGTACTTTTTCCCCAATGAGTTTAGAAGTTCATCCTCTAACAAAGGTTCGAAGTATGTAGTCAACCTTAAAAAAATAAAAACATGCATGATATTTAGCTAGATCAATGAGAAGCAGTGATTAATCAATCCTCCTTCTCTGTCTTCCCATTTACCTGGCAAACTACCAGGACATTTCAGGTCACCTGTAAGCAATTTCTGTGATTGCTGAGTCCTCAATGAAGAGTTGTTCTTAGTGTGGGAAGATCAAGAGAGGCAAATTTATATTGCTGCCTTTTTGAGAAAGTACATATGTTTTGATGTATCTTACAGAGAGGGCTGGGCTGAAAGAAGGCATATGTGAGAAAGCAGGTAGCCTGAAGTGGAATAAGTATAAATACAACTCTTGGGATCATATTAGAGTAGAAAAATTTCTACTTTGGTCTGTGGAACACATCATAGTAGAAGTGTTGCCAATGATTACAGAGATAAAATATTCTAAAATTTCAGAATTTAGGCCATAGAGACTCTATCAAATAACAACTAAACTAGCATTTATGGATCACTTCTGTATTTTAGGCACTGTTAGGTAATTTTATACACGTAGCATAATCAATTCTTATAACATCTAAGTGAGGAAGGTTTTATTAGCTCAGTTTGGGTATATGGAGAATGACCTGAAGAGTTTAAGTAAGTTTCTTAAGATTACACAGCCCAATAGAATCATTTAAATAAGTAAAATAATTCACATTAGCCTCATACTCTACATCAAAGGAAACATTTCCTGAAGAGACATATAGTATTACTTACCAGTCTCGATTATTAGAGATCCCCAAAGGAATAAATGCAACTATGAGAATGTCATGTTGTTGGCAAAATTCCAGGAGTTTTGTCTGAGTGAAATATGGATGGCACTCCACCTATGTGGTTGCATTGAAGAGCAGAGCACAAAATTAAGGCCTTGTAGGTGAATGCAATTTTATGTAGTTTTAAAAAATCTTTTAAATAAACTTCTTTTTAAAGTATTATGGATAGTGAGACAAATTCTAAATATTTTTCCTAACAAGGAAACTTACATTGTTTATATACTGGCGAAGTTAATTACGGCAAGGTTAGTAAGGGCACCATCTGTGAATTAATTATAAAATAATTGGGGGGTGGAATTCAATTTTGTGTCCCTATCATAGTTTCAAACTTGAAATGCACAGAATCAGTTATAGAAAATACAATTTCTATAACAAACAGTCTCAATGTTCAGATTAGTCTTAGTAAGTAGAAGCGACATGTTACAGAAGCCCTCTGCTCTAGCTATCAAACATCTAAGAATATTTTCACAAGAGGAAGAACATGTATGAAAACTAAATTTAAAGATAAATTCTATTTTCTTGGATGAGAGTTCTATTTATTTTTTTACATTCAACATTGACAACAGTAAGTATTATACAGAGAGGACAGAGGCAAAATCTTTGGGGTTATTACTGTGGATGCTGCAAACTGTTGAAGTTGGGGCTTCAGAAGGGCTGCAGTATTGGTAAGCCATCTCTACAGTATTGCTGTGCTCTGCTTTCAGACACCACGCAACACATGAATAGGCTCAAGCTGTGATCTTCCAAAAGGTCTTGCCTCCCTTGTCAGATATATTTGTGAAGCTGATCAACATTCTTGTGCCAACAGATTAGGATATTTACTCATTCGCATGAGGTGACACACTGTCAAATTTTTGCTCTCTTTTTCATTCTGAGATAAAAAGTTACCATCTTTCTCTATATACTAGTAGCCCGGTGCACGAAATTCGTGCACATTAAAAGGGAATTAATTGCCCTAACTGGTTTGGCTCAGTGGATAGAGC